TCCCTTCCCTTCCCTTCCCTTCCCTTCCCTTCCCTTCCCTTCCCTTCCCTTAGTGAGTTGACAGAGATCAGATCACATCACCTGTTACCCTTCTCATCAATTGGGACAGTTCGTGCTGCCAAGTTTTCTGACTCCTAAAATAGGGGTGACCAACTTTTCCCAGACCAGATCTTAGGAAATTAAATGTTTTAAGACTTACTTAAATACTGCATAGACTTATCCTGTAAATCCTTTTATACAATTGCATTGTTGCTGTGTGTGTAATGCAAAAGCTCAAACAGAAAAAAAAAAACCAGACATGTTTAGCATAACCGTATTTTTTTTTCTTCACTAATTAATGAATCATTTATTTTTTAATCTAATTACAACATCATTAGTATGAATAACAAAGCTCCTGAACATCACTAAAAGTTACARAGATCAAGTCCTGCCTGCATGTGAAGTGTTGTGTTTTTCTGTTCTTTGCCTGAACTTTTGCTCATACTCTTGTGGCTGTACACATAGCAGTTTGCTAAACAAACATCAGCTCCAGGAGACTCTGCTTGCATTTCACATATTCCAGGTTAGAAAAAGCAGTCTGAGCCAGACTCAGGAATTCATTGGAGGGCAGCATGCTTGATGTTTGGGGATTTGTTTTTTGGCAAAGCTCTCCAAAATTTTTTTTTTTTCCCCTTTTAAGAATAGGTTATGATTCATCAGTTTCTGGAAATTCAGATTTGTAGCTGAGAATGGAGGATTCAGAAGAGGATTCAAGGAGTCCAGTTCAGCAACTAATCTTAATAATGTTTTTCTGATCCTAATAATATTCCTTTTGTGCTTTATGCAGAACCATTTTTATATGAGAGGTATGAGATGTCCTAAACTGGCTTTTAAGGGAAAGCACCTTTTTAGGGATAGACTTGCCCAATGATGCCCCAATGCATGAAAACCCTAAGCCTGCATTTTGAGAAATACCGTCAGCACAGGGATTAGAATATACAAAATCCATTAGTTCATTGTCTTAAGAGTTACACAATGTTATCATTCATTCAAGAATCTGCTTTTATTTCTGTAGCATCTGTATGTCAGGTGCTTGAGTAGGCCTTTCTAACTTTCAGTGCAGCCTTTGAGAAGTGTCTGTTACTATGAAGACCTTAATTCAAGCAGTATGACAACTSTGCAGTCTGATCAAAAGGGAAGATACCTGCTTGAGAAACCTACATCTCGAAACACTTCTGCTGGCAAGAACAGCTGAAAGTGTTTGTGTAACTATCCTGCGAGGAAAAACAAGTTTGTTGTTGGTCTGCTTCAATAAACTTTACAAGGACTTCTATCCCATCCTGGGTGGGCAAGACAGAATGGCAACTAAAAACAACCTAACAGAGAGTAACAAAGGAGAAGGCTTCTGCACTTGCAGAGAACTCTTCTCACTGCCAAATGAATAGGACTGGTTTTGGAGCTGCCACCTCTGACACAGCCTGTCCCACATCACCTTCATTTCCAGGCTGTAATTGTGGCTGCCTGTCCAGGGCCAAATCACTTATACACTTTTATTCAAAAYAATTTTCCTCTTAGTAAAAGTATTCTGGAGGTGCCTGCTTCCTGTGAAGACTAGGAAGCTGCACAAGAAAAGATCAAGAAAACTCTAGCCAGTTTTGAAAACTATTCATTTTGTGGTTTTAGGTAAAAAAAAACTCTGTTTCCTGAAGTTTTCAGGTACTGAGAAGGTCTTATGCACATCAGATGACAGTGAAAATTTGTGCCCATTTAAAGTGATTTGGGAGCAAATGTTGCACCAGATGATACCAAATGAGTGGAGCTAATGATTCTTGATCTCTGGTAGTAAATCTGCAATTAATTTCATTTTCAGAAATATAATGAGGATAATCCTAATTTATCAGATAAAAAATAAGCTTATTGGTGTTTACTGAGTCAATTAATGTTGACATAAAACTTTTTTAGGAGCTAACTAATAACAGCAAATTAAGAAAATTAACAATTAGCAACCTAATTGTTATTTTGTATCAGATGTAAAAAAATGAAAGGATTTGGTGGGTGTCTTCCTAATAAAAATGGGAAAGGAAAAAAATACATGAAAATTAAAATTTAATTCTAAGTTCAAAGACTTGACAGTTACTGACATTTTGGAACAAACAAAAATGAATAAAAGCTYGAGGCAATCTCATAGCTGAGATCTACCCCTCAGCATTGCAACTTATAATGGCAATGATTTTTTCCTGAACTCTCTGAAAACACTCCTCCAAACTCATAATATATTTCTTTAATCTCATTTATAGTCATGGTTTTCCTTACATGACTTTTGTTTTTGTTGCAAACACTGTGGATACACAATTGTATACAGTTATATGGGTTTTGTTATAACTCAGGCCTAATTATCAGTAAAGCTTTATCCATGCATTTCACCTACAATGGAAAAAGTCCACGTGACATGCTGACGTGTCTGAGTATTGTGTGGGAATAAGAAATATACCTACTCATAAAACTTACATCCTCTAAGAACTGCAATATTGTCTTACCTTTRTACTATGCAACTAATATAAAGTGTATTTTTCTGCACTGCCACTGAATTATGTAGAGTAAAAAGTGAAAAATCTGGTGAAAGGGATTCCAAGCTGTGGCAATAAAACATATTTAGAATAATGTCTGTGCTTTGGTTCTACATCACCATGCTGAGAAGTATTACTACTTTTCTATTTTCAGAGCTATAGATGAAGAGAGAATAAGAAAGTATAAAGCTGCTCTCAAGATCCAGAGCTGGTTTCGAGGATGCAGGGTCCGAGTCTACCTAAGGTAGTATAATAAGCCTATCTTAATCCATGTTTCAACATTGAATTTTTCCTCAAAAATTCTCATGGTATTACCTGATTTTGATAAAATAGGAGCATTTGGGGAAAAAAAGGCAACAATTGTTACCCAGTTTTCAATAGAATGTTTTGAATATGTTAGAATAGTTTTCAATACAGCTGTGATGCTGTAAGAAATAATAATTTTTGATTTTCAGAACTGTACACAATTAAAAAGGCAYGATTCTAAAAGTATGGAAATTATCTTCAGAATAGATACACAGTATTGTGTGAGAAATCTTGTCCTGACTGGAAGAAAAAAAGAAACAACTAGATGTGCCTTGGATATGCTGATTCAAAGACTTTTTGTATAGAATCATAGAATATCCTGAGTTGGAAGAGATCCAAAAGGATCTTCAAAGTCCATCTCCTAGCTCTGCACAGGACAATACCAAGAGTCGCACTGCATGTTTGAGAGCATTGACAAAATGCTCTGTCAGGCTTGGGCTGTGACCACTTCCCTGGGGATCCTGTTCCAGTGTTCAACCACCCTATGGGTGAAAAACTTTTTCTAATATCCAGTGTAAATCTTCCCAACACAGCTTCAAGCTACTCCCTTATCATGTCACCAGTCACCAGGGAGAAGAGATCAGTGCCTGCCTCTCTGCTTCCCTCTGTGAGGAAGTTGTAGACTGCAATGAAGTCTCTCCTCAGTGTCCTTCAGGCTGAACAGACCAAGYGACCTCAGCCKCTCCATGTATGGCMYCMCCTCAAAGCTTTTCACCAAGGCCTTCACCCTTCACCTTCTGTAGAATGCCATATCAACACAGGACTCGATCTTGGAGGTCTATTCCAGTCTTAGTGATTCTAAGATTTTATAATATTGAAAAAAATTTCCTGGAAACTGTGGTTGGTTCATTCTCCCAGAAAGCCCTCCTCCATTTTTTATGATCATGAGCCCAACTGGCCAAACTCATGCTCTCAAACTTCTGTATCTTCAYAAAAGTTAGGGCCATGAGGGAGAGGGATTTTTACATGTTCTAGTTTGACCTCTTCCTATCCAAAGTAATTGTATGTCATCCAGATCTGCTGAATCAAAACTAAAGAATTATTGGCTTAAATAACATTAACTATTTAAAGGCCAGTATTTCCCTCAAAGAGAGATAGGCTAAAGTCATTATGGGCACTTAGAAGAAGTTACTTAAGTTGCACCAGAGGAGGTGCAGATGACATATTAGAAAACACAATTTCAATAGTAGAGTGATTAGGCATTGGAATAAGTTGTCCAGGGAGATGGTAGTGTCACCATCTCCAGAAGTGTTTAAGATGTGTCYAGATGTGGCACTTGGGAATATGATTTAGGGAGGTTTATGGCCCTGCTAGATCATCTTGAAGGTTTCTTTCAACCTTGATGATTCAGTAATTCTGTGATTGTCTCTGGCTTACCTAGGAGCACAGGTTCAGTGTAGCCAATTCTCAGKGTTCTGAATTACCCAAAGACTTCCTTYACTGAGTGGAGYGCAAGGYTTRTAAGTTTGATGTCCATAGYTGGGTGGTATGAATGATCTCTTACRCAGCTTTGTCTAGGCAATCCCAAACTAATGATTGTAATATACTCTGCAAAAGTTGATGTGACACAATTATGAATTTTTTAGTAGTGTAATTATATATATGTATATACATATAAAAGTAAATAAGTAAATATTTAAAATTAAACTAAATGTAATTTTATGAAAGCAAATAAGGTGTCTAAAAACAAATAAAGTGTCTAAAAATTCCACTTCCAGCTGAATTTGTCAAGTACTTTAAAATGGTAAGGCTGTGAAAATATTGCACGTAACAAAAATTTCAGATATGTTTGTTAACACCAACCATGAAAATAAAATTGCTTATTATTCAAATTACCTTTGTAAGGCTTTTTCATTAAACTTTTGTAATAGTATACAAGTAAATTTGCAGTAACTCATGTTGTGCAAAAACTAAAGTATGTGTGCATAAATAGATTTATGTATATAATGGTCTGCTTATGTGTGTGTCCCTATGTATATATGGATACATGTATATGTATAAAGTATGTTTGTAATGGAAAAGAGTGGAGTTTCATCTCTTTGGAACAAATATGGATAATACACTCTATGTTATTTTTTATTACTATGAAAAAATATAGTTAATTGTGAAGTCTGCAAAAATAATTTTTTGTTAATGTATTTCATTTTAGGTATCTAAACAAAATGGCCATTTTGATGCAGAAGTGTTGGAGAGGTTATCTAAGAAGAAAATACTTCAGAGAAACAGTGGAGGTAGAAAAGTACTTCTTAAAATTTTGTTTGGTTATTTGTGGAATACGTATGAATAATTCATACACTCATCATGAAATTAAGAAGCCGAAACGTGATCCTTTATACACACAGACACACACTTAACTTTATTGTAATGAAAAGCACCATTAATTTCAGCAAGCCTACTCATAACAGTCAAGTTAAGTCAGTATTTAAGGGTTTGCAGCTCTGGAGTATCAGTCCCCAAACCAGCAATGAGATCTGATCATGCAGAAGTCTGCCCTCATGATGCTAATTGCAGGATTGGGGCTTTACAAGATCTTTTAAAATYTTTTTATCCTAGAAGAACTTCTAATTTTGAAAAAAAAATAAGCCACTGTGTCTACACATTGCTGTTTTATGTTTTAGTGGCTTAAATTTYTTACTTAATGAACCTTGAAGTATTTGAGGTTTTGCCTTAAGGCACACAGCATATCATAGTCAATCTAATTCCTGTGACRAACCTGAAGCAAGTGAAAGTGTATGATAGCACACAAGCTAAAACCTTTGTTAACAGGTTTAGGGAATTAAGAAAATAATTTGTCTTTAAGACAAAAAAAGGTAAGTTTTTAATATGTGGTTTACTTCACCAATTTATTAATTTATGTTAATGTTTTACAATAGTGTTAAAATTGTTAGTCATTTATTCTTGATTAATTTTGTTGAATTGCTATGTTTTATTCAAAACAGACAATTCAAGAAGTAAGAAAAAGGCCAGTAATCAATCATATCTTGCAGAGCAAAGTTCACACTCACTACTAAACTATGTTTGCAAGTAGCAGGACTTGTATACCTAACAGATTGCCAGTTTTTTGCCCAAGTCCAGTAATCTATTTAAAGATTTTCTCTCTTCCAACTTACTAACTGGCTTAACTAATACATGAGGAGCCATCCTTTCAGGCTATGTTTTTCAGTCATCTTCTAAAACTAATTCTTRAATACAGAGCAGATAGCTGCAGGGATTCTCTTTTGAAAGAAGTAGAACTTCAGCTGARTATTGTTCCTTAGTTTAAGGCAGGTTTGTTTAATCTAGGAAAGCTTCTGTAGAAGGGAGGCATGATAATGTATCTTAAAATTTGTTAACAAAAAAGAAAGGATCTGTGCAGTCGCTGGGACGAGGGAAGGAAGAAATCAACATGATCAAATAGATTTCCTATTATCACAAAGTTGAGAGAGCTAACATCATAAAATCCCTTCAGCTTTTTGTTCTTGAAATATATTTCTGAAAAGTAAAATAAAAAGTCTCTAATCAATAAAAACTTGTGCATATTTAGTTTTTCAAATAGATATAACTGAAAAACTCCTGACAAATCTGAAGTCTGTGGAATAATGTACAAAAACATTCTGGAACTTAATATACACATTTGAAATCAGATCATGAATTCATCCAATTTCTGTATTCCAGTACTTATCCAGTACTAGCCAGGGCTCTAGGGGAAGAGAATCTCATCAGAAAGCTTACAGGTTTTACAGCAATCAGCTTAGAAAATTATCTTTTTCCCTTTAACACTTCATATTGTTCTTGCCATCTCTTTGATTGGGGACTAAATAGGACAGCTTGATTGGAAGCCAACCTGAGAACCACACAAGCAGCAGATAAAAAGGCACCTTCTACTCCCTTTGGGCTGCTTGTATTCAGTATTGTATGTTTTGGGCTGGGTTTAATGTGAAGTCTGAATTAATACCTTATAGTTGGGTTTTTTTTCTAAATTTACTCAATTAATAGCTGAATTTGGAATAAGTAGAAAGCAAAATCTCAGCAGCTTAACATAACTTTCAAAGTAAAGGATCAGGTAATGTTTGCAATGAACTCTTGCTAATAACWGTTGTAATGACTGCTGACTGAAACACAATGATACATTTGACATGATTGTTCCTTAAATACAATGGTCACTTTAAAATTTGTCTGCTGGTTATGATTGGATTGGTATCTGCTGCCAGCAAACAAGGCAAAGCATATGCACAAAATACCCATGATTGCTTGATAATAAATCATTTTAATGATTATATTCAAAATTGTGAAATGTGAATGGTACTGATGCGGAAAATAACAAAGGCTGAGGCTCATCAGATTGGCTGTCCATATGTGCACCACCGCTGGTATTTCATTAGTTTCTCTTCTATTACCTCYTCCTTTGACTGTTAAAATATATCAGGTTAAAAAGTCCAACACCTATTAATGGCATTTATATTATCAAAGTTTTGTTTCTTTTTATTCTTAAATATAGGTGATTTGGTATAAAGCTTTGTTTCCTAATTAATCTCAAGCTAAAATTAARAACTGCTCTCCTACAATTTTCTTAACAACTTGGTTACATTGATTGGATTGGATTCTGAAAGTGTGAATGACGTGAAGAAAAGTAGGAATTTTAGAACCAGGCAAACACCAGAATGTGAAACAAACTGTACAGCATTGTTTCTTTATTRCTATTTTCTCAAAGCCAAGGAATCACTTGTTAGAGCATGGGGAATTGTARCATTTCATCGTTGTATGAAGTTGGCATGCATGATGGCCATATTTTCTGYTTACTTTGGAAGGAGATGCAGAGAAAAGTGAATATGTTATGCAGTTTGACACCAYCCTGAATGATTTAGCTTCAACTCAACAACCAGTTTTAAATAGTTCCAGTCCAATAGGAATTATGCTAACGTCTATTTACTCTGCAAACACCCCAAAACACACCACCATGACATTTCCAATTTAGACCACGTGTTGCTTCCATCTCTTAACCTCGATCTCAATCAGATTTCTGKTTCTCCTTTGAATTTTTCATTTTGTGTTAACTCTTTAAAGCAAAAGAAGATACCCATTGGAACACATTTGTAGATGATGTCCAAGCATGTTTTTAAATAGAAAAGGGAAAAGTAATACAACAGTTTATATATAAAAGGCTTCAAATATATTTTGGAAACCTACACTTAAAGTGAGCTGGTAGGAAGGCCCGTATATTAATGTCAGACTTCATGACAATTACAATGACATCCTGACTCAGAAGTAGAAGTGACGTATGGATGAAATGGGGAAGTGATTCTTTCCAGAGTGTCTAGATACTTGGCAGTATCACCTTTGAATTGGCAGTCAGTGAAAAAATGAGAGGCAATACAATGGGTACAAGCTGAAATGCAGGAAATACCACTTAAGCGTAAGAAAAGAATCTTCTGGACAAGCAGGCCCCAATTCAGGAAATAAACTTTTGTTTATTAGGAGAGCACTAAACATAGAGCAGTAAACATAGACTTGGGTTGAAGCACTAAATCATGACTGCTTTTGAGAACAGGGATAAACACATTCTCCATCATTTGTAATACAGAACTGTCCAATCAGAATTAGGAAACAGAGGGCAAGTCCATTTGCAAAAGATGGTGACACAGCCTTTGGCTTTTGGTGCARGAATAAAGTGGTAAGACAGTTCCATGCACAAGCAATTCTGCATTYGGGTGACTTGTGATTTAGAGCAAGACTTGAATTAAAGCAGAAATGTGTAACTTCCTTCTTATTGTGAATAACCTTCTTAAGTAATGGTAGGGTAAGGTCTGAATTCCTCACACCTTTGTGGGGCTATGCAAGGTAGGAGACCTTGGTTGCCATTGGCTATCTCTGTAAATAGTAGACAAAGTTCTTCARTACTTTGCSAAGCTCAGAAGGAAAATRTTCCCASACTGTCTTTCAGTACTGATGATAARAAGAGCATTAATGATGTTAGGTCTCCAGTTTTGAGTTCTTCAATGAAATGGGATGCAATCAGACCTGGGTGCTCACAGCCTTCAAATATGAGGAGRATAAACAATAAAGATGTAAGATGATTATTTAGTTTAATCACTGATGGACAGAAATCAGATTATTATTTTTATGCTAAGGTGCTTCCATTAAATTGTTTTATCTATTTGATGGTGTGGTAACTCTTATGTTCCCTTCCAAAGAAAGAAAAGATGAACTGCAAAACAAAATCTTATCAATTTAATCAGTTTARGAATATGCTTAAATCAGGCAAACATTATTCTAATCCATTATTAGCTATCTACAGTTAGTATYATTTAGTAAATATTTATGGGGAATAAAGGGGAGAGAGACAGTAAATTATTTATTCTACATTTGGGGTAGATTTTCACTTGAATATGTATATATATATGTATGTGTACATCCACATGTACATGTGAAATTTCTTTGAACTTTAACAATTGTGCAATTTTCTTTCACGTAAGAAATACCTTTTGTACTATTTCGATTATTAGTGGATTGGTATGATATTAAAGTGAGCATTTAAAATGCACCTTAATTAAACTGCAGGAATTATGCCTTGCTTAATGTAATGAAGAAAGAGAATTTAAAATGAAGTAGCATCATTGTGTTCATTTGTAAATAACATATTGCAGCCAACTGTTTCTTAATTGCCCAGACTGTTGATAAATAATCCAGCCCTGCTGCTCTCCACAGACAATTTGCTTTGGATCAGACTAGGCAATTCAAATAACACTAATTACAGTGAAACCCTTTTATAGTGAATTCCTGTTTGCCATGGGGGAGAAAATCACTATATCAGGGGAAAGCACTTTTGCCTTTGATTTGTGTCTAAAACATGAGAAACACATAAAAGCTGCATGTTGTGCTAAATAAAGGACATACTCTTGCATTCAAAGTACTTATATTTTACTTTTTATGATACAATTGTGAATTATGTTCATTTTGCATTTGTAATTAGAGGGCGGAACAGATGTGAAAGCTTAGTTTAAAGTGATGTATCCATTAAAATAACCTATGCTGCCAAGTGATTGCTTAGTATAATAGGGGATTCGTTCACTATGAGAGGAATTCTACTTTATTGGAARGAAACCAGGACTTCAGGAAATGTTTTCTATATCAGGGGATTCAATGTAACATGRTATCATTGTATTTATGATTTTATGATGTTAAAATGAATATTAAATGAAACAAAATTCCCAACGATTACTCGGGAGGCAGCTAAGTACATAACATTTAGTACAGATGGTTGGAAGGCACAATTTTGCTCCATCACTGCATCCGTATCCTTGAACGATTTCGACTGAAGACAGCATTTCTCTGAATTTTTCATTAAACCAGACGTCTTGAAATATGAATTCCTTTTATGTTTCTGTGAGTTTTGGCTAAAAGAACCCCAGTGAATAAATCATACAATACTACATGTCACCAGCACTTGTGAATATTTCTGCTTTGTTATTCTACTCTCAGTAGAGCACCATTGATTATCAAACTCAGCGGAGAGCATTTTATGATCATATATCTCCATTAGCTCCTAGTTTGACTACCATAGATTTTTCTGGTTAAGCCTGCATTATGTATTAGGAAGCCTATCTCTTCAATACAAAGTTTGATTTTATTCTCTCTAAGCCTAGAACTCTTATTATGTATTATGTATAAAGATTCTTATCTTTTATATGTAAAAATAGCAGGACTGTCTTTGTGTAACTGAAATATATGCCATCTTTTTTTTTTCTTGATTCACAGACAGCATATGTTATTAAGAAGATGAATTTCTACAATGAAATGGCTGTCAGGGTAAATATTTCTTCACTTGTTAAACAAATGAAAAGTCAATTGTGCTCCGAATTTGCTTTTAATAAAATGAGCAAAGCAGAATAATACATACTTGATTGATATGCTGATGGCAACAGCAGGAAATAGTACATAGTTAAAAATTAAAGTTACACTGAGTAGTCAGGTCTGTATTTGAAAACTGTAGCTGAATTTAAGGTACCTGAATGTGTCTTTCCCCATTTAAATGTTCAYTGGACCTTGTCATGTATGATACTGATAAAACCCCCAAACATTCTATCTGCCAGTGTTATTACAAATGTAGACATCAAACTACAGGGCCTCTAAGCTTGTTGATGTGGYTGTGCTTTTTCTTTTGTTAGTATGTGACATTTGATTTATTGGATCTCAAGAGTTACTCAGACAGCACAGGACAATTTCATTGCTTAAACATAGAGGTGGAACTGCACTGATCTCATTGATGATATTATGAGTGAATTTTGCSAGATGAAGGAGAGTGTAAACAGTCCTTGAACTTCAATGAATTGACRACAAAACAAGTTTTTTGTGGCTGAAATGGCAAAACATATTTAACTAGAAATTGGCTTTTTTTCCCCGAACTTTTAAATTRCACTTGAACAAATTTGTAAAACAAATATGGGAAAGACATAAAATAATTTTTGTGATTAAGTCTGTTTATGTCACTTCTTTCATTGTGTGTTATAAAACCGCTTTACTTTAGAGGCCTGTATCTTTTTAGGCCAGGCACCTCACCTTTCTGCCAAATGTAGGAACATGGTGATAATGGAGATTAACCCAGGGAAACTCCTTTAGAGTAGGAAGAATCTCAGAATGGATTTTGTGTGGCCTCTCTGGGTCCAGAATAACTGAGAGTCAAGAGGGTTGTACTCACCAGGTGYTCTGCTTAGTTCTGGTTCTCTCGAGGCGCGAAGTAGAATCTGACCTTTGGTGCATGTTAGAGAACTGAAGRTGTTTAACAGAAGTTTAATACCTCACAAATGTACCTTTTTGTTGTTCTTACAGTTCATTCCTTAGCTAGTTTGAAAGTATTCCCCAGTGGATAAATGCTGTTTACTCATGCAGCTGAGATCAGTGAGAAAACATAAGATGTAAACCAGCTCCTAAAAGTTTCCTCTGTACTTTCAGAAGACATTTGAAGACCAAATTTCAGAGGTGATTATGTATTCTAGTCAAATGGAGTTTTGCATTTGGTCTTTCATTTTATAAAAGAAAGTGAATGTGTTCCCATTCATTTGTAATGGAAATATAATGTTGAATCATTAGGTGATATAAATCTTCAYAGTACCATCTTTTCAGTCATGTTCTTTTCTTTAATGGAAATTTAAATCAGTAGAAAACAATAGAATAGATCTTTATTTAGTTGCAAATGTCAGAGTCTGATTCTCCTCTATCTAAATCTTGTGCAGCCATATCTTCAGAGCAGATTTTAAATGCTACCAATCTGAAACACTGAATAGTTTTGGGTTTTTCCTCTGTCATGTGTTTCTTGAAGAATTAGCCAAGGTCCAGGACAATAGTAAATCAGGCCTGTTGAGTTTCTGCATAGTTGATATGTGCTCAGACTTTAGGTTTCCTAAGCCAAYAGTGCCTTATATTCACACATCATCAGTTTGATTAATGATTAATATACCTCGATGTTCTAAAAATATAACAACTGTGTATGTTTTTCTATTTAACCACTTAGTTTTGTCTCATAATGTTATTTAATATTTATTTCACTCTTTAGAAAGGCAGTTTCAATTTTGGCTTTGAAGTATCATTGAGGGCATACACATGCTCATTGCTTTGAAGCCACTCTACATGTCTTTCTGGATTGCATTTGGTTGTAATAGGAGCAATCAGTTTCATCTTTAAAATTGAATCAGAGATCTTGTTTTAATCAGTTTCAGTCTGAAGGCAAAATATGATTCTCTCTCTTAAAAGATTTAAGGTTGCTGTAAATTTTCAGCAACAAAAGTAATCCTATGGCAAAAAAAATTCCACGAGCAGATGGCTTTTGATATATCAAGGTTTTGCCATTTGTTTTAGTGCTTAAAATAAACATTATTTATAAGACCACTTACATTTTGATGTTACTTAATGAGGAATATGCATCATTGATTTGACTAGCTTAAGAGGTCATTTAGAACTTGCCCGTTAACAAGCTGTAATCTGCTGAGCACACAATGACTTTGTTTAAAATTATCTGTTCAGTGCTGATCAATGACAATAATTGTTTTGTACCAATCACTGTTGAAACTTGCTAATTACTTTGAAGGGCATAGAMACACTTGTCTCTTTTTTTTCCCAGAATTTTTTAAACATTCACCTTGGAATTACAAAGAAATGCAGTCATCACATTGTGCTTCTTTATAAAAGAAAACATTTAGAACTTTCATATTGAAAATATGAGCAGCATCACAAGCTTTTTGTAAAATGGTCTTTCCTAAAAGGATTAATCTTCASTTTTGGGATCTCTGACATACAGTATTAGAGAAGCAGAAATCAGGCATAAAATAATTTGAGACACAATACAGTTTTTCTTACTTATGTTTCATTCAGTTGGAATCAGTGAGTTCATTCTGAACAAAAAGTGGTGTAAATAAAGGTAGAGTGCAGCATTTAATTGGTACACTGAGCCCATTGGAGGTAATTATAGCTTGATACAATTTGAGCCTTTTGTCTTTCGGTTTGAGTTTTGATCCTTTAACCCAGAAATATCCAGTTCCGCATTTATAATTGTGAGGTGAAGACTGTCAGAAAGAGTTTCAAAGGGACCATAATCCTGCATTAATGAGCACATGGCTATATGGGAGCCAACTTGCTCTTGTTGAGAAATTTTGAAGCCAAACAGAAAAACAAAGCTAAGATCCTTATTCACATGCAAAGGATTTTGCTTAATCCCAGATCTCTGAAGGCATACTCATTCTTTGCTCTTTCTCTATTCCTTTTTAACCCAATAAGCTTGTGTATGAGAAAGTAGTGTTGCAAAGAATATGAAATTTRCTATCACCTAGTGCAAAGCAGCATGTCTAGGACCTTGTTCCCGGAACTATTATTTGTTCATATTATGACAATATCTAGTGCCCCAAACCCCTTTTATTCATTAAAAAAAAAAACCAAAATCAAAAAACCAAAACCAAACCCAAATAAATAATAATACATAGGTCAAAAAAAACACCAACTTTTGAAATTAGCTTTGAGTCTTAGGGAGGAAAATACATGCTGATGCACAAAGGGGAAATAGAAGAATATATTAAGACTGGAAGTTAACCTCTTTATAACTAATGTATATCTCAAAGATTTAGTGAAAACTTTTCTATGAATCTTATTCTCCTGTTAAATCTCACAGAAAAAGACAATCATAACTGTACCCCAAGGTGCCATCAGTTGAGGCCAAATGGTACCTTTTACTTTGAAATGTAGTGTTTTAGGGTTCATGATTGCCRAATGATACTAAAAGGATGAAAATATTCAGTCCTGCTTTAATCGATCTCCTTTTAGATGGCTCCAGTAAAAGTCTGGAGATGGAAAAATTGCAATAACTTTTGTCAGTTGTGACAGTGGTATGGAATTGGACTATATTGGAGCTGGTAGGAGTTGAGAGAATTTTGCCTGTTACTGAAGAGCACTCCCAAGACTTAATGATAAAGATTCTGAGATTCTGAAGTTACTGAGTGAAAAGGTTATCAATAATGCGGGCAATGGGCAGCTTGTGTTTTTCTTTGCCTTCTTCCTGAATCAAACACAAAAACATGACAATCTTGCCNTTTTAAAAAAAGTACTTATTTAGAGAGACACAAACACATGGATTTCACTCCACTTAACAAGTCACCCCTTGGTTCTGGAAAGAGGAAGGTTGATGTAAAGGAAAAAAATGTCCTCTATAGATACACTGAAGAGTAAGTTCTTGAAATGTCTGGTAGCTAGGGGCCCACAGGAAAGGGAGAGTTTTTAGTACATTGCAACATTTTTCTCTTCTATCCATTTAGAGAWGGGGAGTAGCTTTTCATTTGGAGTTGCTTCTTCTCTAACCTCTTGCTTTTTAAATCTAGATTCTGCCTTTCAGCTCTTATGTCTTTTAATATTTCAAAGCTATAAAGGTCAAAGAGATGGATGCTGAAGCAAATGAAGGTACTGTAGAGTAGAAGATAGAAATTGGGAGATTAACTAAGAAAATATTGAGGAAAAAAAGGAGACAAAATGCAAAGAAGGAAGTAAAGAGTATTTTGCAGGAAAATTAATAACTTCAAGGATGAAAGAATTTAAAGACAGAGGAACTAGACACTGAGAACAGAGGAAAACATGGTTACKCTGTTTTTCAGATGTAGAGATCTAGGGTAAAGATCTAGGGTACTGTGACCTTTTACGGTAAAGAAAATCAGGAGTGAGAGCAGCCCTCAGCATGACTGAATAGACAAAGTTGCATCTTTCACCTATACGTGTCATGGCTTAGGGATAAATATAACTCATCAAATGGCAGTCCTGCTATCATTTTACTTAATAACAGAATCACAGAATTATTTTTTTTGTAAAAGGCCTCTAAAGTCATTGAGCCATCTTGTCAATTAGACCTTGGCACTAAGTGCCATGTTGAATTGTTTCTTGAATTGCTTAGAGCTGTTGAGTCCACCACTGTTCTTAATGCTTACTTTTCCATGCCACAAAACATAACTGGTAAACAGGTAATGATTTCAGAAACATCATTATTGGAATTTTTGAGTATCAGAGAAKATTTAAATGCTTTTTTTGAAATATTTTTTTTTTCCAAATGATGCTTTTCAAAATGCATCAAAATATTAATCCTTTCTGGTGGGGGATGCGATCTAATTTCTGCTTATAATACAACTTTATAACTAGCTACAGATAAAGAGGTTTCCTTTTCCAGTTTAGGCTTTCTCTGTTATACAGGAAAATAGTATTTTGTGAGAAGATTAAAACTAATGTGGAACAAATAGACATGACTCATTTTACAGTGGAGATGAAAGAACTGCAATTTGTAAATGAAGTTTCCAGAAAGTCTGATTCACTGAGTTACTGGGAAGGCTTTTATTCAGTTTACAATTTGTGCAGAGCACAAAGGTGAAAGTGAAGCAGGAGATGTTGGTGTGGTGATGACTCAGTAGGGAGTKCACGTCGTACCTGAGAAAAGACACTGCTTCTGTTGTCTGCTTCTTTTACTGTTCTTACATGCAGCAATGGCACTGGTAGTAGGAGACACTTATTTCCATTGTCACACCCCAACAAAACCAGTGTTTAAAACTTGATATTATTTTTTTAATGTTTACATTTAATAGTACATCCGTATTGCCATTTATCTACAACWCATTACATCCTGCCTTTATTTTCTTCATTGAAACTTATTGATGCTTCTACTTGGTACCATTTCTAAGGAAATATATACTTGGGATATACTACATRTATTTGATATGCATGCAAACTTTTGATTCGACATATACTAAGCAAATATTTCTTTCYTCCAGATCCAGAAAAGGTGGCGAGGCTATTATGTTCGGAAGTATATCCATGATTTTTATACATTGAAGAAATATCTGAATGGCGTTTCTCTGAATAACATACTTGTCAGGTAAAGGTAAAAGCTTCGCAGGTAGAGCATTTGTTTCCTCTTCTTTTATTTATAAAAAGTTTGTGGCACTAATTAAACTATTTCTGGGAGTGAGTGTTCCCCTCCATTATCAAATATATATATATATATATATATATAAAATCAGTTATCATTCTCTTTATCCTATGCCTATTTGTGTTGCACCACGTTCTATTCTCATTTGCAGTTATGAATTCAGAATAATTTATTTGAATAAATTAGGTTTGTACCAGTTTAATAAAAATTGATTTTGCTCTTCACCTATGCTCAGAACTCATAGATTATTATGCCCTAAACAGGATTTGTTGAGCTAGATTTTTTACCCCCAGTATACACAAGCTAACAAAAAATTTATTTTCATGATTTGTTTTGAATATGGATTATTGACAATGAATGCAAGGGCAGATTTGGATTTAAGTTACTTGTGTGAGCCACACTGTGAATATTAATTGGGGAAGATACTGGCATAGTGCAGTGAAGCACATTCTTTTCATTGTTACAGAAGAGAACCAATAACCTCTCAGATTTCTGGCTAGAACGGTTGTTGCTGTATGTTCTTACTGTATTTCTCCTATCCATCCATTTTCTTTCCCYGTACTTAAGTTGAAACCTCTCTAAAATAGGGGTAATTATGTCCCTCTAGTGGATTTGATGTCCCAATACATGACCATTAATCAGATAACASTGGAAACAGACAGTCAAATGCTGGGTGACCATGATCATTACACTCTCATTGTAAATGACAGCTGTTGGACAAAATCCATGCAGTGTTTGCAGTTCAGAASACTGGAGATGAATCTCTGCTTTCTCAAGCACAGAAATATAACGGAGTCTAGTAAACCAATATTTCTAGAAATCTTGTCTAAATCACATGGCAAAGGCTGTTACATAAAGCTGCATATGCAAGTTATATATGAAAAAGCCCAGGATTATCTAATTTCTTTATATGCTGGTTATTAATGATGTTCTTTCACAGTACAGCTGATGCTATATCCTCTTTGTCATAACATTATTTCTTGTGCACTACATTGTTACCCATAATGAATCATATTGATAGTCACCTACCTTCRATCTCTCATTATTATTCATGTAAATGTATTCTAAGCAGAAACTTAGGTCACAACTCAGAAAAACCAGGCTTAAAGATTCTGTTATATCTTCAACTGTGTCTTCTTGATCTGAAATCCCTGAAAAATGCTCTCTTCTTGAAAAGGTAGAATCCTAAAAACATTAGGCCATATCCTGGAAAATAAGTGAAGCCATAACTTCTCTGGTTTAAAATCCATATAAATGAACGAACTGCAGAGACATAACCTGCTTTTCTGCTCRTAAATGTTCTATCACTCTTCTCCATTCCCTGCCTAGACCTGGAACAGAGCTCATAACTTGTTACTTAGATTGRCCTTTGATGCGTGCCAACAAAACAWGAGAGCAAATGGTATTCCTGCTGTACTACAAACATGGATTGGTTGGAGCTTTGCGGTTTTTTTCTCCACACCCACAATAGATTTCTCCTCGGTATACCTAACTTTGGAGGACTACAAAAGCATCTGTTTTTCAGTATTTTGACATGCTGATCAAATTCCCTAGTATTTTATTTTAGTTCATTACAAATCATAAAACCTATGCGATGCATAGGTATTTTAACCAAGAARTAATCCTGTGTTCTTTAACAGGTAACATAGCAGTATGACTTCAGGTACATGAAAATGTGTCAAAGTTGGTCTCTATGAGCTCTTACCTGGCAACTGATATATTGATATTTTGCTAATTTGAGTTCTGTCTTCCAGAGTTCACATGAATATTTGTCTTTCAGGTGGGAAAAAAAAAATCCATCCTTCTGGTTAAATAAAAATTAAAAATTAATTTGTGAGTTAATTTGGACGAATGGATCTTATTCTTTCAATTTTTAAAATGCATCAGTTCCCAAGTGCAATCAGGAATCACTACAGTAATCCCCTTACTGGGGTACATTTGAAAACTAACATGTATATCACCTTCGACATTCTTCTTATGAAATCTAACAGATGTTTAGTGAAGATTAGGTGTAGGCCCTCAGCCAAACAGATTTTTCCTGTCACTGGGCTAAGTTGCTGCCAACTACTTTGGCCCCAAGGTGGCCTACTGTGTTTTTTATGTGGAATATTGAGCCAGGCTGAGGAAAGATTCTCCTCATCAGCCATCACATCGGCTCTGGACAAGTATAACCTCTCTGAGTATAAAAATTTTTGCATATAAAAGTTATTGCAACTGTACACTGTAAAAACCACAAGGAATTGTCAGAAATAGAAGGAGTGCATTTATGACATGGCTGGGTTTTATTAAAACATCATCATTATGGAAATTTGCTTGTTGGTGGACAGAGACGCTGATATACTTGTGCAATCAGAATAGACTGCCTTTGAGTGTTTCACATCTCTAAAACACCGTAAAACAGCACAACATGGCACATGAAATAATGAACTTTGCTTATTTGTCTTACATCTATATTCATCAGAATGTGTGCATTGGTGCAGTGTTAGTGCTAGTAAAGAAACAAGTTCCTCCACAAATAATAGCAGACCAGCAGTAAAACAGAGACTGATTTTAAGAACTCCAGAGTGGTATAAACTTATTCCCATCCCCTCAAAAAATAATCAAAATATATTTTTAATTAAAAAAAAAAATTAAGCTGTATTCTTTCTGGAATTATGATGTAATTCTGAATTGAATTACATTGTATGGTCCTCTGTCTTATCTGTTTTAGAGTGGCAGAATTTTATTTATTAACACCTATCTAAAGTAACATTGCAAGTCCTTCTATCTCTTGGATGATAGAGCAGGGTTTGTGCTTAATTTTCTCCTCTTTCCTTAAGGAGGAGCCTGTATCAAACCATCCCTCACTCATGCATAAGAGAAGCTTAAGAGGAAGTAGTCATGAAACTGGGCATTCTGTTAAGTTTCTTAGAAGAGTATCTTATAAGAGTTATTGACCAAAGTTTGCTCCCTTCTCATTCYTCTTTCACCCTATTTTTTTTARATAAAGCACACTTGTTGTACTAAGTGGTTTCCTCAACCAGTAGCCACATCTTTACCATTTAGCTTTAATACAAACCGTCCTTATTTAATAGCTGCCCTCATTTAGTAGCCAGACCTTTATCATTTGTCTTTACTGTGAAAGCCCCAGGAGAAAGTAAACTTAATAGAAGCTGCCCCAGTTTAAAGCCATAGAGGGATGTAATTAAGTTTAACAGAAATTGATTTAACAGAAATTGACCTAAAATATAATTAAATAATAATAGTCATATTATGTGTGAGTTTCCACTCACTTAACAGACTGGTTATGGCACTGTCCAACTTAACAGATTTAAGGGACTGTCTTTGTACAAACTCTTGGCTTTAGCTCCCAGAATGGCTAAATTCCTCCAGCAYTCCTGTTACTACCCACTGCTACAGAACCACTAGGTCTGATGGCTGCTGGTGTCCCCAGTCAAGTCCCTAGGAGTTAGAATGAGAAGTTCCTGAAAAATCCCCTGAGAGATGGAAAAGAACAAATTTGAACCCTAAACTCTGTCTACATAAGGACAAKACTCAATTTTTTTCTTAACATTTCTACAGTTTAGCCTCAGTACAGTGATGAAATGGGTTAATTAGTGCTGAGKTCTCTTTTTCCTAAAAGGTATAGGAAGTTCTTAATGAACCAAGTAAGGAACTTTTTCTTAAATATTYGTTTTACTGAATTTTATTATTTAGATTTTAGTAATAATTTACATATATTCACATACCAGTATATACTGCATTCTATCTGAATATGAATAAGTTGGGTGGTTTAATTTATAAATATATGCGTTAAAGTAAATTTCATTACTTCTCAGTGCAGTTAGTGTATTTAATCTTAAGGGAAAATATTTTGTTATGAAACATTCTTAAAGCTGCATTACACCATCTCTAAGAGCTGTCTAAATGGTTACGAGGGGAGATATGCCAAAAGCAATTAGCATAGGCTATAACTCCATATGATGCATTAGAATTTTGTTTTATGTGAAACAGTTTCCAGTCCATGATAAGCAAATGGACATCACTTCACATAAATTAGCATGCYGGTGCCATTATATCAGAAGAATTTATGGATGATGTCAGTTGCCCAACTGTGTGATTAACTTCCAGTTCTTTGCCTAAGGTTATCTACGCATTGGCTTTTAAACTACAGTAAAGCAACTTTGCTGTATGTTAGGTGTGCAAGTAGAGATAAGATTTTGGGATGTAGTGCTCCATTTACTGATGAATGGCRCCATTTAAATTTTTCCCTAGGCACAGAACTGGGTAAAGATATCAGTATTAGAAAACTGACAAAGAGGTAGCAAAGTACTGGCATTGGGGTTCTCACGTAATCAAGGCAGGTAGTTCAGCTTTYTTGGCTACTGAATAAACTGGCTTAAAAGTCCCAAACTGAGACCTGAGTCTACCTTTAATAAGCATCATAGTTTAGGTAAACATGATTCAGTTTATAAATCATCTTAGAWATCAGTTTATAAATCATTATTGAGTTTATATATCACACACTTAGAGGATCAAAACCAAATTCTTCTTTCCATTGTTGGCTTTAGTAGAGAAAATGTTTTGAGTTGCCCTCGAGAGTATGACTTACATCCAAGTTTGACTAGCTGTTCTATCAGCAGATTTAGTTTCACAGTCATCTTTAAAACTTCTAGGTCTTCAAGAAATGTCAGGGAAATAGATAATGAAAAGTGATAAAAATCACTGCCTTGGCAATAGGTATATTCACAAATCCTTTGTGCAGATTGATTTTTTTATAATATCAATGAAGAGTGAAATATAGTATTTACATGTTGCTGGTGATCTAATCCAATGTYTAGCTATTCTGTAAGTATGCCTGAGAATACAGTATGGAAAAAATTAAGATTATCTATCTTATTTATAATTACTAGAACATTGTTGAAGTCTATTTTCTTTTAACATGGCAAGTACTTGGATTCTTAAAA